GAGTCAATAAAGCGGCCCTTCCACTCAGGGCACCATGGCCTAAGGGCCAAAGTAAATAAAGCGGCCCTTCCACTCAGGGCACCATGGCCTAATGGCCAAAGTCAATAAAATGGCCCTTTCGCTCAGGGTGATGTGGCACAATTGCCAGAGTCAATAAAATAACCAACTTCTGTGGGATTGTGTGGCTGATTGGCCCACTGGGGAAGTGGGATGCCACTTAGGGGTGTGTGGCACCCAGGGTTGGGGGACTCGGGCCCTCCCTGCTCCTTAGAGTCCCAGCTCAGGCCCCTGGCAGTGGTGGCAGTGGTGGGGGTGCTCACCACTGAGTCAGGGGGATCCTCCCAAAACACGCTGACTGGTTCACTCACTGGAGAAAAGTTTAAGTCCCCTGGGCTGCTTCCGACCCTTTCTCCCTCTGCGATGCTCCATGGTTCCCCCGGGTCTCTGGGATTCTCAAACGGGCTAGCTCCTGCCAGCGCCGTCTCTTCTCCAGGCTCATCAGGCAGCCTGGAGTCCATCTGGAGTTCTCTGTGCTGTGCTGTGACTTTGTAGTCAGGGCCTGTAGCAGCTCCCTGGAGAGAGCCTGCACTCTGCGTCCTCTCCCTTCAGCAGCCTGCCCAGACTGAGTTGGGCTGCTTCCTTTCATACTCTGCCTCCAGGCTGAGCATGCACAGCAGAGTCAGAAGGGCAGGTCTTCCTCAGCCTGCAAAGTACAGTTAACCCTTTTGGGCTGGTGTTGGGTAGGTACACCTTGTCACACCCATCCATCTGTTAGGGGTACTGCTGTGGAGTCACCTAGAGGGGAGCACCCATAGGGACACTATTCAAAGAATTAGCGAAGGTTACTCACCTTGTGCAGTAACTGTGGTTCTTTGAGATGTGCCCCCCTATAGGTGCTCCACTACCTTCTCTCCTCCCCTCTGCTTCAGAGTTATTTTCAATGAGCTTCATGGTAGAGAAGGAACTGAGGGCAGTTCGCCCACACAGCACTATATAGCCCTGGTGCAGGGCATGAGATGGGGATGGCGATGTGTGGGCAGAACGGACTCTGCTACCTAAAATCTCTAATCTGAGGCACATGGGGTGCAAGCCCATCTAGAGTGGCGCATCCATAGGGACACACATCTTGAAGAACCACAGTTACTGCACAAGATGAGTTACCTTCTCTTCTCAACATCTTGATTTTGTGCTAAGTGCTCATATCTTCCCCCGTTTTACCCTTCCCTTTTGCTATTAGTTTAACACCCTCCTGACTACTCTAGCCGGCCTGTCCCCAAAGAGATTGGGTTTCCTACTGAGACAGAGGCCAGCCTAACTGTACAGCCCCCTCTTTTCACAGAAGGTGGGCCATTGTTCCAGAAATCCCAAACCCGCTGCTGCTTACCTAACCAGCAGTTCACTTCCAGAATCTTCTGCCTTCTGTCTTCCTTTGCTCATGGGACAGGAAGGATCTCTGAGGAGATCACTTGAACACTTCGAGTTCCCTGAAGTCTGTTATCTGCGAGATACAGGAAGGATAGAGGTGGTGGGAATCCTTCCAGGGTAGAGGCTGCTAAATACTGAGAGGCAAGGGAATTAAGTGAAGTGATTAGGCTGGGGAGGTAGAGTGACTCGAATGAATGGGTTCTTGTGGATCATCACCTGCACCAGACAAGTCTATATAATAAATAACTTGATAGCAGAGGTGTTCCAAAGTGTGGCAAGTTTGGCAGGTTTTTTACTTGTCTATTTTGCTCCTTGTTATTGTTTGCTGGTATTATTAATTTATTATTATTATTATTGTATTTTATTATTTTCAAAGGTTCAAATACCCTTAAAAGATCAAGAAAAGAGAACATTCCAGAATGTTACAATGAGCCCATGACTGATATCCACTCCCTTGTGGGAAAGATACTGTAAGGTTCAGAGTGTATCGAGGTGACCTCTCACCCTCCCCTGCTTTTGCTAAGGGGTAATCTTGACCACAGCTAAGGGGTTCAGGGTAAGAAGACAGTTCAGTGGTTTGAAAAGGTGTTTTGGTTCTCTGTTGTACTTAAAAAGGGGTGGGCCTATCCAGTTGTGGTGGGGATTGGGGGGCAATGTGGTGCATTTTGGAGGACTATATCTTATTTCATAGCTAGACACATTCAGAAGAATACAATGTAGGTTTATAGGTATTCAGTTATTAAAACAGGAAGCACATTCCAGTCAGTTGGGCTGAAATTACCTATAAACAGCCCCTGATTTAGGGCATTGCAGTGTTTTGGGTGTCTCATACTGGGCGCCAACAATGTTAAGCACCCAAAGTCCAAGGCCACTTTTGACAATTTTGTCTTTGGTGCCCAGGCACTTTCGGCTCAAAATGGACAAGCTGTTGGTGCCATCTGCAACCTGTTGGGTGACCATCTATGAAGACATTGTCAGCCATCCAAAGAGCAGGGGTAACAAACTGCAGAAACCACGAGGCAGGATGTTGACTGCCCACAGGGCAGCAGGTCATGGAATAGTATTGGAGTGGTACATATGGTTAACATTTGTTACTACAAACCATTAATGGAGGGCTGTAAATTACACGGCACTTTCCAAACACAAGAGACACGTTCTGTGCCCTGGAGAACTGAGAGTCTAACTAAGACAAAACAAACACATACAAGACAGCAAGAGTCAGGGCTTGGGAGACTGAGGAACACAGGGGTGGGGGAAACATCATTGTCGGAGGTGGCAATGCAGTGCCTAACCATGCTGGGCTGGTACATCATGAGGCAACTCATGGAAAGGAGGTTTGGGCAAGGGAGGCTGAGGCTTAGACCCTTCGGGTAAGCTCTGTTCGCCTCGGAGGATCTTTTGCAGCCTCACTGGCCGAGCTGGGGGAAATGGTCCAAATTCAATGTTTGGATCATTTTATTTTGGTTGAAATTTTGAATTATGACCAAATAAAGTCCAACACATATGGATTCAATTATCATGGGTCCCAAGACTTTTTTCCAGTTTTGGACCAGCCTCAGGCTCACTGAGGCACAGACCTGAAAGAGAAAGGCTCCCTCCATGGCCATCACACAAGCAATGATTTAAAGAGTCCAACCCAGAGGAGCAAGGCTCCCTCTGACCCCAACAAGGTGAGTACAGCCCTTGGGATCCTTCTCACTGGATCCTTTCATAGGTACGCAAGTGATATGACCCTATGTGCTGCCGCTTTGTGCCCTGATGGCTCCCTATATGCTGTGATCCACAGGACTGCTGTGCACTATTACTATTATTAGTGCTACTGTGGGCAGAACCAACATCAAATCACGCAGGAGTTCTAGGCCACAGAGAACTTCGTATGTGAACCAAGCATTGTAGATGGTGTCCACTGCCCTCTAAGGGGCCCAAGGGGAGATAGCACAGCCTATAGGAATAGGAAATATAACTGCCACTGCTGTGAAAGTTTACCCTGTTTCTAGAGCATCCAAATCCATCTGCTCAAAACCTCTTCAAAACAACTGTAAGTTATGGCACCATCTGACCAACTTCAGTCCAATCAGAATTGGACCGTAACCCCTGTAGTAATGTTGGTAACTGACCCTGTGACATTACAGCCAGTGGAATTTGCTCTATAGAACTGATCAGAATAGGGTGCCTACAGATACGTTTGGGAGATTTACCTGTTTGTCTGGCTGCCATTTTGACATTTTAGCAGCATAAGAAATCCCCTACCTCCCAGAGGCAAGTGTAAATTAAAGGTTAGAAAACAAGATGAGAATGAGACTGGAAAAGAGAATGCCCTTGTTTAGCTGGTGAGTGAATGCAATACTCGCCCACACTCTGGCGCAGAAAGCTGAAATCAGTTAAATACATAGGAAGATGGCTTTACAGAAAGAATGTTGTGATTTCCTGTCTCTCCAGGCATCCTCTTTTCCCACTCCTGACGCTGCTGTTTGAGAAGTGTGAGCAGGCAACACAGGGCTCCGAGTGCATCACCTCTGCCAGCTTTGACGTGGACATTGAGAACTTTGTACACCAGCAGGAGCAGGAACACAAACCATTCTTCAGTGATGACCCCGAACTGGACAACCTGGTAAAGCCCTGGTTCAGACCAGTCCCAGCCCCATTGCTTTGTTTAGCATTTGAGACAACAGGGACATCTCAGTGCTTTGCTCTTACGCTGTAGGCATCTGAACCCAAAGCCCAAAGGGCAGCAGCTTAGAGAAGTCTCAGGTTGGATGTGTTTTAAGGAGCATATGTTAGATAGTGGTTTTCGAACGGGGTACATGTAATCCGAGGGATACACGAGCTCTCGTCGGGGGGTACGTGAGAAAAATCCTGTAATGGTGGACAACACATTTTATTTAGTAGCAAGATTTTCAAACTGTGGGACGCGCCCCCCAGGGGTGTTGGAGGAATGTTCGGTGGGGCAAGCGGCGATGTGAGGCGGCTCAGTTTTTTAACTGAGCCCCCTTTGAGTTACAATTTTTGGTTGTGCGGGCCCCCCCCCCCAATGCAGACAGGCTGGGTGCCCCACTGAGGTGAGTCAGGGGGTTAAGGTGGCACTCCCTCCCTGAGCCCTGTGGCGTCGCTGCTCACCCCCCTGAACGTTTCTCTGGGTCCCCATGGGGGGAAGTGCCCCACAGTTTGAAAACCTCTCGAAGCTGTTGCTAAATGGAAGGCAGAAATCTGGGGTGGCACATGTCACCTCTGCCTATCTCAGATGGGGTATGCAGTATACTACATTATTTGTAAGGAAGTACTCGGTCTAAAAAGTTTGAAAACCACTGTGTTAGAGCAATGAGGAGTCTAGATAAGCTTGGCAATTGAGATTTTTCAAAAGGAATAATTATAAATCTTAGTCTAAAATTTATAGGAATAGTTTAAGAACATAAGAACTGCTATACTGGGTCAGACCAATGGTTAAGGCTGTGAGTCTGTCATGGAGGTCACGGAAGTCATGGATTCTGTGACTTTCCGGGCCCTCTGTGACTTCTGCAGTGGCCGGTGTGGCTGGCCCGGGGGCAGCCTGAGCAGCTCGGGCCGCCCCTGGGCCAGCCGTACTGACCACAGCAGGGGCAGTCTCAGGCCCCCGCCCCCGGCCCCCCAACAGCAGCAGGAGTTTGGGTGTAGGAGAGGGCTCAGGGGTTGGGGTGCAGGTGGGGGTGAGGGCTCTGGGCAGTGCTTACCTTCGGGGGGGGGAAGGCTCCCCGGAACAGCAACATACCTCTCGTCTGCTAGGCATAGGTGCTGCCAGGCAGCTCTGCGCACTGCCTCCGCCCACAGGCACCACCCCCACAGCTCCATTGGCCTCGGTTCCCAGCCAATGGGAGCTGCAGAGCTGGCGCTTGGGGCAGGGGCAGCATGTGGAGCCCCCTGGTGGCACCTCTGCCTAGGAGATGAGGGACATCATGTCGCCACTTCTGGGGAGCCGTGCAGAGCCTGGTAGGGAGCATGTCAGCCCCGCCTACTCCCCCCCAGCAGCACCAGGGTTCCCGGGCTAAGTGCCTCTGCCTGCCCTTCCGAGCACCCGCAATGTCCCCTGCCCCCTCCCCCAGAGCACCCGCAGCACCCCTGGCTCCCTCCCCCAGAGCACCTGCAGTAACCCTGGGCTGCCCCCTACCCCAAACTACTCCAGTTTTAGTTAGGGGTATATAGTACAAGTCATGGACAGGTCACAGGCCATGAATTTTTGTGTACTGCCTGTGCCCTGTCCATGACTTTTACTAAAAATGCCCATGACTAAAATGTAGCCTCACCAATGGTCCATCTAGCACAGGATCCTGTCTTCTGACAGTGGTCAATGCCAGATGCTTCAGAAAGAATGAACGGGGCAATAATCGTTTGATCCATCCTCTGTCATCCCCTCCCAACTTCTGGTAGTGAGAGGCTAGGGACACCAGAGCATAGGGTTGCATCCCTGGCCATCTTGTCTAATAGCCACTGATGGACCTATCCTCCATGAATTTATCTAATTATTTTTTTGAACCTGGTTATAGTTTTGCCCTTGACAACATCCCAATGAATTCCACAGGTTGACTGTGCGTTGTATGAAGAAGTACTTCCCTTTGTTTTTTTTAAACCTGCTGCCTATTAACTTCACTGGGTGACCCCTGGTTCTTGTGTTGTGTGAAGGAGTAAATAACACCTCCTTATTCACTTTCTCCACACCAGTCATGATTTTATAGACCTTTATCAGATCCCCTTAGTTTTTTAATCTCTGCTCATATGGAAGTTGTTCCATGCCCTTAATCATTTTTGTTGCCCTTCTCTGTACCTTTTATAATTTTAATATATCCTTTTTTGAGATGGGGCAACCAGAAATGCACACAGTATTCAAGATCTGGGTGTGCCCTGGATTTATAAAGTGGCATTAAGATATTACTGTCTTATTATCTATCCCTTTCCTAATGGTTCCTAACATTCCGTTAGATTTTTTGACAGCCACTGCATATTGAGTGGATGTTTTCAGAGAACTATCCATGATGACTCAAAGATCTCTTTCCTGAGTAGTAACAACTAATTTAGATCATTTTGTATATTTAGTTGAGATTATATTTTCCAATGCACATTAATTTGCATTTATCAACATTGAATTTCATTTGCCATTTTGTTGCCCAGTCACCCAGCTTTGTGATTGTAACTCTTCTCAGTGTGCTTTGGACTTACTTACCTTGGGTAATTTTGGGTTACCTATAAATTTTGCCACTTCGGTATTTACCCCTCTTTCCAGATCATTTCTGAATATGTTTAAATAGCACTGGTATCAGTACAGATCCATGGGGGAACCGCTATTTACCTTTCTCCATTCTGAGAACTGACCATTTATTCATCCCTTTGTTTCCTGTCTTTTAACCAGTTACTGATCCATGAGAGGACCTTCCTTCTTATCCCAAGACTGCTTACTTTACTTAAGAGTCTTGGTGAGGGACATTGTCAAAGGCTTTCTGAAAGTCCATGTACACTATATCTGCTGGATCACTCTTTTCCCCATATTTGTTGACCACTTCAAAGAATTCTAATAGATTGGTGAGGCATGATTTACCTTTACAAAAGCCATGTTGACTCTTCAACAAATCGTGTTCATCTTTGTGTCAGATAATTCAGTTCTTCACTGTAATTTCAACCACTTTGCCTGGTACTGAAGTTAAGTAAGCCGCTGGTCTGTAATTGCCAAGATCACCTCTGGAGCCTTTTTTAAAAAAATGGTGTCACATTAGCTATCCTACCGTCATCTGGTACAGAAGCTGATTTAAGTGATAGATTACATACCAGTTAGTAGTTGTGCAGTTTCATATTTGAATTCCTTCAGAACTCTTGGGTGAATACCAAGCGGTCCTGGTGATTTATTGCTGTTTAATTGATCAGTTTGTTACAACATCTCAATCTGGGACAGTTCCTCATATTTGTCACCTAAAAAGAGTGGCTCAGGTGTGGGAATCTCCCTCACATCCTCTGCAGTGAAGACCGATGCAAAGAATTAATTTAACCTTATCTTCCTTGAGTGCTCATTTAGCACCTCGATCGTCCAGTGGCTGTACTGATTGTTTGGCAGACCTACTGCTTCTGACATACTAAAAAACGGTTTTGTTGTTAGTTTCTGAATCTTTTGCTAGGTGCTCAACAAATTCTTTTTTGTCCTGCGTAATAATGCTTCTATGCTTGATTTGCTAGAGTTTATGCTTCTTTCTAATTTCCTCAGTAGGATTTGACTTCCAATTTTTAAAGGATGCCTTTTTGCTTCTAACCACTTCCTTTACTTTGTTGTTTAGCTATGGTTGCACTTTTTTTAGTCTCTTACTATGTTTTTTTAATTTGGGGTAGCCTCTATAATGGTGTTTAAAAAAAGTTTCCATGCCTCTTGCAGGCATTTCACTTTTGTAACTGTACCTTTTAATTTCCATTTAACTAGCTTCCTCATTTTTGTGTAGTTCCCCTTTCTGAAGTTAAATGCTATAGTGGTATTCCCCACTCCGCACAAGGATGTTAAATTTAATTACATTATGGTCGCTATTACCGCTATTAAAAACAACAAACTGCATTGAGCTTCACACACATGAGGCAAATGAGTGACTGTACCCAAGGCAAAAGGACTCCACTTTAGTTAGTTAACTGGCTCTACCAATAGTCCCTGCTTTATCTAGCAAGTGCAAATGTGTGGTTTAAATATAAGTGCCCTTGATAGTCAGTAACTTGCTTCTGATTTATTAAATTAGTTTTTATGTCTGATTGTTAGCAAACTGTAATTTTTGGTTTGTAAAACATTCCAGATAAGAAACCGTAATGACATGATCTCCCTGCCTAGGCAAACTGGATTTACTGCCAGTACCTTATACACTGTTAATCAATGGTTACCTTAAGAAATGTGAGCAATTTCTCAACAAAGTTGAAGTTTCCTTATATACCAATCTCTAGATCCCTGCATTTCACAGCTTTCTACCTGCATTTTCCTGGTGGAAATTGCAGTCACAGTTTGGCATATATTACTTGCCAATGATTTGTGTGTGTATATATATATATATATATATATGTAAAGAACAAGAACAAGAAATGCTTTCTTACTGAAGAGTTTTGTAACAACTTTGCTATTCTTACTCCTGAGTTTGTTCCTGATGCTATCAGCTGAAAAGAAAGGCAAACTAGCTCTCTTCTTCAATTGATTGTCCCTATTGTGTTCCACTGGGATTATGCATGTTCACCATGCGCTCGGAGTCGGCGAGTTTTGAAAGTAGTGTCCATTGGTCCGCATATGCGCCCTGGCTCAGCTCGTGCTTCCGACCAAGGCAATAAAGGGTGGGTTGGACCAACTACCTCTTCAGTTCCTTCTCATTGCTGCACTGGAACCTTCAGTGTCCTCATCTCTGACGTCCTTCTAAATAAACAGTTGTACATAGTTTTATTAATTCTTAAATAATGTGTAGATTAGTAGTTTTACCAGTTTGAGTAGTTTTAGTAGTTGTAGAGTAGATTACAGGGGTGTCCCCCGCACTTCCGCATTTGGGTATCGCACTATGCCCAGAACTATGGGCTTCAAACTCTGTGCCCCCTGCCCGCTGTCCTTCTCCATCAGCGATCACCATCAACACTGCCTCT